CCTCTAAGGATAGAACAAGAAGCAATGGGCTTAAACTGCAGCAAGGGAGGTTGGACATTAGGAAAAAGTTCCTAACTGTCAGGGTGGTTAAACACTGGAACAAATTGCCTAGGGAGGTTGTGGAATCTCCATCTCTGGAGATATTTAAGAATAGGTTAGATAAATGTCTATCAGGGATGGTCTAGACAGTATTTGGTCCTGCCATGCGGGCAGGGGACTGGACTTGATGACCTCTCGAGGTCCCTTCCAGTCCTAGAATCTATGAATCTATTATGTAGACATCAGACCCAGAGGATCCCTGTAAATTCCACTGGCAGCTGGCATCCTGGGGTCACTAGGTCACACTGGGTGACAATCCAAAGTACTGAGGGAAACTGAGGGATGCATAGGAATCATAAAAATATTACAGAAAGTCTCACTTAGTCCCTAGCCTCTGTTTGCCAGGAGCTGGGAATGGGCGACAGGGGATGGATCACTGGATGATTCCCTGCTCTGTTCATTCCCTCTGGGGCACCTGACACTGGCCGCTGTTGCAAGACAGGATACTGTGTTATGCTTATAAGAAGCACACGGGATCTTTCTCAAGGGAAAAGGCAATACACCGCCTTTATTGAAGATACAACAATTAGCATATGCATTCAGTCACACCACACACACACGCTGTTCCGCCAGTAGACATTATAGTTACCAGTCCAGAGTCTGGGTCAATCTAGTGACCAGCTGGGTTGATCACGGGTAGAGAGGAGCCGGGTTCCATTGGTTGCGACACGATGCTCCAGGGAAGTCTTGGCACAAACCCAAAGTTTCACGGCAAGACACCCTGTTGATATAGTGATTTTCCTTCACTGGGGCCAGTGAGTTTTGCACCGTCATCCTGTAATCAATTGTTGTTTGAGGAGTGCTTATTTTCTTAAATTTGTCCTCATCACAGCTATCTTGTTCTTTCATTGATAGACGCCTGTCTCATCTTTAGAGTCGTCAATCTGCCCTCCTCTGATATTTCAGTAGGGGCGTGTTGCAGCCTCCTGGCGCCCTTGCGTCTGTCTCCGGTTCCTCCCTACACCATCTGGTTCAGCGATGGCCTTCACACTTATCTCTTAACACACATTCCTCATTCACACACAACACAGAATTCATTTACACAGAACATTTTGAACAGGAATATCAAATTGCAATGGAAAAGAAAACAATCATGGCATTCTTTTATTTATTTAAAATGCTAAACTTACAACAAAGTGGTCACCTCAAAGGTCCGTTACTGCCTTGAAATCAGTCCAGACACACAGAAATTCTGGAGATGTGTCTCTACCAGTGGCTGTTAGGATATTCCTTTCTGCTGTTCTGGCAGGATATGATCAAATCATACATCAATACATTTCATACATGCTACATTCTTATCTTGCATCTGAAGAAATGAGGTTCTTACCCACGAAAGCTTATGCTCCCAGTACTTCTGTTAGTCTTAAAGGTGCCACAGGACCCTCTGTTGCTTTTTACAGATTCAGACTAACACAGCTCCCCCTCTGATACTTGACATTATTATCTTATTATTCTTTAGCCTTCATTCTAAATTATACAAAATACAAAAAATAAATCCTAGTACTACACTGGGCTAGATGGACCTTTGGTCTCACCCAGTATGGCTGTTCTTATGTTCACACAGGGCAATTCATATTTTAACATGTGAGCTGGAAGGGGTCAATCCTAGACTATGTCTACACTATGAACTAGGGGCACCATTCCCCTGCTGAATACAAACCCTCCTGAAACTGGTGGGTACATACTTGGCATGGCTAAACTGTGCCTTCACTGCCGCTACCCACACTACTGCAGCTACATGGCCATTTATACACTAGTGTGATGAGAGCTAGTGCAAATATGTGTACATGAACGGGGGACTCACGCCTCTTGTTTGTGGTGTATAATAACCTTAGGGAGGAACTTAGCTAGAACAGGTTAAGACTACATCTGCCTTGTCTTCAGTAGGTTTTGAACATGAGGTCATTTAACATGAGTTAAAAACACAGCTGTTCAGTCTAAAGAATTGTTTTGCTGAAGGACGCTTAGGCTCGCCATGAGGGGTCATTGGTGTGGAACACGCAGGGAGAAACTCCCTAGAGAAAGAAGAGGCCACGCAGGAACTGCACCCAGAGAGCGGGACTGTGGTTATGGCTACACTACAGAGCTTACAGCAGCACTAATGCAGCTGCACTGTGGTATCACTGCTAGTTCAGATGCTCTAACCCGACGGGAGAGAGCCGCCCCTGTGAGCGGTGGTAGCTATATCAGGGGGAGGGAGGAGCTCTCCCACGGACAGAGCACTGTCCACACTGGCGTTTAGGTCGGTGTAACTTATGTCGCTTAGGGGGTGGTTTATTCATACCCCTTAGTGACATAACTTATACCTACCTAAGCTGTAGCGTGTACCTAGCCAGTGTGGGTTAACCCTCCCCTCTTTGTCTGCAGACCGTTCCGAGGTTCCTTTGGATTGCAAAATACCCACCCAAAGGGTTAATGGCCCAGGCTCGCCTTTCCATACCGCGGGGAGGATTCCCCAGGTGTTTAAGGTAAGGAGCTGTGGGCTAGGTTAGGCAGGCTGATGCGACTGGCTGAATGTTCTCCACCACATTTCCACGGATAATACTGAGTGGCGGATGGCTCTGGAAGAAGCGTCTGTACTGCATTATTATATGTTGTAGACTGCCTTTATGCTCTGCAGGGCCTGCTCCTTGGTTATTTTGACCCAGTCTTCAGGGAGATGGGCTGGTTTAGTATCATACTGTCTGGCAAACTGGTGATTGAACTCTTTAAAAACAAACTTCCAGTAATCAGAAGCCTCTGGGCTGGGGTCTGGCTGAATGCGCCAATCTGGGTAATGCTGGCGATAATCTCTGAAGGGAACCAGTTCCCCTTTTGTATCGGAATTGCTGAATGAAGCATTAGAGACCACATCAGAGGAGCATAACGAATAGTCAAGTGTTTCTGTGAGGTGATCCCTGCGTCGCCTCAGTCCCCGGGGCCGATGTACTGGTGCAGAGTGCTCTGTATGAACTGAGCCTTCTGCTTCACAGGGGACTCCGCAGAATGGACACTGCTTCCCACAGCCAAACACTCTCTTGAACAGCTCAGCCTGGGGCTTCACCTGGAACTTGGAGAGTTTCTCCTCTATGTTCACAGCTTTGAATTCTGATGCCAGGTTCTGCTCCAGCTCAGAGAGAGAGTCCTGAATGTCAGCAGAAAACTGGCTGGTATTGGCACTGGGTGTAAATTGGAAGAGCGTCGTTTCCAAACTGTCTTTGGGAAGGACTAGGTCTTTCTCTAGCAGCCTGCAAACGTTTGCTACGAAGTCAGAGACTGTGCTAGTTCCCCCATCGGTTGGTATCTCTAGAGCTCCTCTGACTTTCTCGATGATGGCGGAAAGGATCTCTGCTTCGAGAGCTTCGACACTCTCTCTGTTTCCATAGTGATCTGAAATGTCTCTCCGTATCGCTGCTTGGACAAAACTTTCATAGTCGTTAATGTATTTCATGTAGTTGCTAAAGTCCATCTCTTCCAGCAGCTTCTGTAGCACAGAGAGCTGGAAGGAGGCCCGGCTGCTGTATGCATTGGCCTTCTCACTTTTGGAAAGGTCATCTACTATCCTGATTCCCAGCCTTTTGTTAACATGTTCTGCCAGGGCAGGTTTGAGACAGCGCTCACAGAAATCCCCGGCTCTCCGCTGGCAGGGATCCTTTTCCAAGTACAGGTGTATAAATGTGGACAAATACTGAGGTTTCAGTTTCTCCAGCCGTTCCTGGAGATCATTTTCTTTGATAAAGTTTTCATGCATCTCCTGGAATGCATGGGCCGCCTCCCCCAAAATATGAAGTTTCAGCTCAACTTCAAAAGAAACTTTAGTGTGAAGCACATTCTCCTGCTGAAGCTTCTTGTTGATCATCTGCAGCAGTTCTCTGCCATAGGTCTCATCATAGTCCACTTTGGAACTCACCTTCTCTTCGATATAACGTTGGCACTTGTCCATTAAAGAACGAGCAAATTCCTCTGCTTTGTGCGGGTATTCCTGTGTGAACGATTCTCTCATGCCCCTGAAACACGTTAAATCCAAATACTCATTGTCAAAACTGAAAGATTTAATCCTGTAACTGCGCAAATTTCCTGCTTCCTGAAGTTTCTGCCTGACTGTGCTCCCTCGGTTCTCTAGGTCCTTTCTCAGCTGGAACTCTAGATCTTGGGAAACTTGGCGTTTCTTTAAACTAATGAGCTTTAACTCAGACACTGCTTCCTTCCACATCGTTTCAAATTCTACTTCCAGTTCCTTCTTCTCCAGTTTAAGTTTTCTCCTCTTGCAATCTTCCAGAAGGCTGACGACTTTCTTTTCTGTCATTCTCTTGTAGGTGGCCTGTATATTGTCTATTTTATACCTGCTTTTTTTAATAAGAATCGCTTTTTCACATTTGCTGGCTGAGTAACGTTCAAGTTCCGTCTTGAGGTTCTTTGTGCTGCTGATAAAATCTTCTCTGTACTTTTCTATCAGGTGTCGGTTTCTAGCTCCACTTTCAAAGTATCTCTGTAAACACTTCACAATCCTCGCTTCCCCTTTCTGCACTTTTTCCTGCGCCTCCTGTTTTAAGTTCCCAGCATCAGGTAGTTCATTACATGGCTGGTTCTGAATTGCCGTTTCTTGGTCACATACCCAGAGATGCATCTCCTTGCGGAGCTCCCACTCCCACTCTGAATACCTCAGACACAGCTGGTTATAGGCCTCGGCTACCAGGCTGTTTCTGAAGCTGAAGATGAAGTTCTCGTGTTTCACAGCGTTCCACAGATTCTTCACCCACTTGGTAAACAGGGGGATGTCCCTGGGGTTTCTGTTAGGTGTCCGGCTTCTCATAAAGTCAAGCAAGTATTTCTTTAACTCATAAACACTCTCACTGTACCCCAGGTTCACTGGCGCCATGGGCGGGACTCCCTGCCACAGCCCAGGGATGTACCAGTTGTGTTTTTCCGGATCATACGCCATAATATCAGAAAAAGTCAGATCCCTGCTCAGTTTTTCCATCCTTGCTGCAGCTTTGGTCATTTCATTGAGATGTTCCAGGAAATGATTCCTGTCCCTCATGTTTTGTTCGTGGGCAGACACGTCACTGATGTTCTGATACACAAACTGGCAGTTGGGTTTGTGCCCTATTTCCTTCATCCTGAGAAAAGCATGGACCACGATTTGCAGAATGTCCTTCATTTCGCTGGTGTTCTCCATGGCCATGTTAACGATCGTTATGTCGCTTAACCCAATCACCAGTGTGGCCAGCTCATTGTCATGTTCATAACTGTCCTCCAGTTTGGCCAGCTGAGGGGCTCTCAAGCCTTCTGCGTCTATCACCAGGATAAAGTCGCAGCCCAGCTCCTGCTGAAACTTCTCTGCAACTTTAATGAGCGTCATGAAGGCTCCTCGCGTACATCGGCC